ACTCTTTCCAAGTCTTAGGGTTTTGTAAATTATGCGACTCCTTAACATACAATCCATTTCCTTATGTACCATTTTTGTTTGCCAATCTATTATTATTTTAAAGTGATTTATTGGTTCAGCATGGTGCCATCTAATCCTAAGTGTCTTGTAGAAATTATTGAGAAATTTATTGGCCTTGTTAAAAATAATAGATGAATATAGCAACTCAAAATATTTTTAAATGTACTTGAAAAAAACTTTGAAAATTCATTCTTGTTAAAAACAATAGATGAAGATAATAACTAACTGTATTATTGAAATGTCCTATTATGAAAAATAGTTAATCAAGCAAACATCACATATCCAATAATCATCCTTACATTGAAGTGGAATCCTATGGGGCAATTGGGTAAGTGAAAGGGGGTATGCAAACATCTTTTAAGGATTCGGATGTGCTATAGAGTTGACCATACATTAAAAAATCATGTGCATCTTCTATCAATTAACAAAATAATTTAGATTTTTGAGTTTTTTCTCTACACAAGAATGTCACACCAACTTTATAAAAGTATGTGTCTCTCATATTTTGTTCAAATAGAATAAGCATTATTCAAGCACACATGATTGATCTCCATGATATAGTAAACATGCATGTTGACCCTTTTTTGTTTATTATTCTCAATTGTTGAAATTAATGACTTATTACTTGAATTTTAATATTTATACCTGCGGTCTAAGTGATTACTTATTTCAATACCCTTGCTACACAAAAATTAAGCTTCTCTCTTCCTTCTCTGTGCTTCTCCCAATTTCTTGCATAACACTTAAAAAATCTTTAATCCACCTCCCATTAGAGTCCTAGAGGGAAGTTCTTTATGGTGGATATTCTTTTTCAAATGTTCCTCAAGCTTGATCACTTTTACTTTCGATCAGGGAACAAACATTCAACTTTTGGGTTACAGTTACACACATGTGTCTTCGCTCTCAAAGATCGACATATTCAACTTCCTAACCCTAGCATGACCAACCTAATTTTTTTCTCTCTGGTGTTTCTTCTGATGTATCTAGTGTGAAACTCTTCGAAGATCGATATATCCAACTTCCTAACCCTAGCATGACCAACCTAGTTTTTTTCTCTCTGTTGTTTCTTCTAATGTATCTAGCGTAAAACTCTCTCTTTTGATAGTAGATTTACCCTCATTTCAGTCTCTCTTCCTTCTTTGTGCTCCTCCCAATTCCTTGCAGAACACCTCAAAAATCTTTAATCCACCTCCCATTGGAGTCCTAGAGAGAAGTTCTTTATGGTGGATATTCTTTTCCAAATGTTCCTCATGCTTGATCACTTTTCCTTTCGATTAGGGCACGAACATTCAACTTTTGGGTTAGGGTTTGCAGATTGAGCTATCGGTGGGGTCTTGAATTGCATCTTAAATCGTCCTTCATTCGATTTTTCATGGAAGAAAATCTCTCGGGGTGCCTCTCCATTCAGTTTTCCATGGAGGAAAACCTATCTTCTGTGGTCGTGAACTTTTCTTTCATCTCAGATTTAGGTTGATTCATCTCTTTCTCTGATTTCATATCTAATTCATCCACTTTCTTAGCTATTATTATTGCCTGTATGGTTTCAGTACTCCTTTACGCTGAATCATGAGCTTTGGAATTTTTGTATGTGGTTTCAATTTGCGTAGAACTCTAGATGTTGTGATCCCGGAATATTCATGTATGCGGTTTGGCGCTTGAAAATCACGCGGAACTTGGACATCGCTTTACAAATTACTTTATGCATATTTGACATAGAACTCCTTTATGCAGCGATCTCGATTGTTGTTTTTGATCTAGAAGGTGTGGCACTTATTTCATATCTTCTCGACAAGTTTTGATTGTGTTTGTATCGTTTGGACGCAACAGGAGGAGAAGAAAGGAGTGTCCAGTTTTGTCTTTATTGCACGGCTAAGTTGGAGGAAGATGGAGTTTCAGGTGCTTTATGCTGCCTCTCTATCTTTGACGTCACTTTCGTGTTGAAGGTCCCATCACTGTATGTGAGAATTGTCGCTCCTTCAATGCGCTTGAATGTTGTGATCCTGCCATTGGTATTTTCCTTCGCAATCCAATTCCCAAACGTTGTGATCCTGCCATTGGTATTTTCCTTTGCAATCCAATTCCCAAAACGTTGCTTTGATACGATCCAACGTCAAAAGCAAAAGTTAGGGCAAACACAAATTTTATTTCCCAAACACCAAATGAAAACAATACCATACTAATAACTCACATTTATAAATGATCGGCACCTACAATTTGAGAGGTAAGTCCCATCACTATATGTGAGAACCGTCACTCCTTCAATGCGCTTGAACGTCGTGATCCCGCCATTGGTATTTTCCTTCGCAATCCAATTCCCAAAACTTTGCTTTGATATGATCTAACGTCAAAAGCAAAAGTTAGGGCAAACACAAATTTATTTTCCTAACACCAAATGAAAACAATACGATACTAATAACTCACATATATAAATGATCCACACCTACAATTTGAGAGGTAGGCGTTCTTTCCCAATTCTTACAATTTGAGAGGTAGGAAATTCCTCCCAAATCCTAAATATAAGATACACAACTCAATCTCTTGTACAAAGCTAACCCCTAAAGATAATAATCCTATTTATACCTAATAATAATGATAATAGTAAAAGATTAAATTGTTCTGTAAGGCTTAGCCACGGGCATAATAGGTGATTACAAACCATTAAGGAAAAATTCTTTGATTGATTATTCCCTCAACTAATGTTCTCTTAATCTGAAAATCTTAAAGTGCCAGCATTTGGAAAAAAAATATTATTATTGAAGCAAATACTTTTAACTTTTTACCTTACAATACAGCTAATGTTTATTATAGTAAGGTTCAAATAATACCCGCCCATACATTCAAATTAAAACATAAGATTGATTAATTTACCTGCTTTGGCTGCATGTAGTCGCAATAATACACTCCTTTGAACTTTCCACATAATTACTTGTGGGATTCAAAGGGCCTTTATAATATCGGTGGGATAGCTAAACTTGATGAAAACGCAACAAATGGAGCCGTTGAAAATGAAATATAGTGAATGGAGAACTCAAGATAAAATAAATAAAATAATCTTAATAATTAACATTTGCGAGATGGACGCTCATTATTTAGTACTATGTAAAAATTAGATTGATCATCTAATGGCTAAAAATTGCTTTTCTTTGTGGAGTTAAAAAATGATCTTAATTCTATTTGAATTAAAGGAAAATATGGCACTCAATAGGACACATTGTAGAAAAAAGGATTTATGAGAAAGGTTTGTTATTGTTATTATTGTTGTTGTTGTTGTATATTGCGTTATAAAGTAAAGCAGAAAAAACATTCCCCTTCAAATTCCCAACCCTGGCATTATTGCGTTATAAAGTAAAGCAGAAAAAAACATTCCCCTTCAAATTCCCAACCCTGGCATCACACTCACTGTGGGTTCCTCCCATTGCAGGATATTGGTAATGGGATTTGTTGGGACTTCTTTAGGATTTGCGTGCTTCTCAGGAGCAGCCATTGTGTCAAAGCGCAGGGAGTTCCTTTACCTTGGTGGCCTGCTGTCCGCTGGCTTTTCAATTCTCTTCTGGTTGAGGTTTGCATCATACATCTTCGGCGCCAGTGCTTCCATGTTCAATGTCGAGGTATGCAGAAATCATGAACTTAGAGATCAAAAATTGTGGGATGATCCTTTTTTTTAATTACTTTGTTAAAATATTATCTGCTCTGATAACCATTGCAGCTGTATCTTGGTCTGCTTATTTTTCTCGGATACATTGTGTTTGATACACAAGAGATCATTGAGAAGGCCCATCATGGCGACCTAGACTACGTGAAGCATGCTCTGACTCTCTTTACTGATTTCGTTGCGGTCCTTGTCCGAATCCTCATTATCATGGTAAATATGAATTACATCTGGTTTTCTGATACATAATTGATTGATATTCAATTTGTCTTATGATTTATTCCTTGTTTTGCCATCTTTTTAGGTGAAGAACTCTGAGAAAAAACGCGAGAACAAGAGGAAGAAGAGGTCATAATTATATGTATATGGTGCTGTAAGGGCATCATCTTTTCCTGATGAATTTCTGTAGAACGAACTGTGTTTGTAATTGTGCCTACAACTGACTGCAGCGCCAGTATATGGGGTGGATAATTTACAGAGCTTTATATATTTTTAAATGTTTCGCGGTCACTTCCAATCGCAAACTGCAATCAATGTCAATGTTATTAAAGGATCTGAGAGCCTGTTTGCTTGGTTAAAACTTTATATGTATGTATGTATATGTGCACGTATGCATGCTCGTTTGTTCGCTTTAAGAATAGTAAAATTCTTCTGATTCTGGGCGGCAAATAGATAAAATCGTTAGAACGATATTGTCATAATGCAAAATAGCTTTGCAAAATCACTCTTGATATGATTTTTTTTTTTTTTCATGCAAAATGCTCTTGGTATGATTTTTCTATGTCATGTCAGTGAGTATTGTCATGCAAAATGTTCTTGGTATGATTTTTCTATGTCATGTCAGTGAGTAAAATCAGCCTGTTTAGGTGGTTTTATTAAAAAAAAAAAAATTTACTGAGAATAGTTATATATTATTAGTATTATATTATAAAATTATTATATTAAATATATTTGGCTCGGTAGTTATTAGAGTGCAAGGCTCTGAAATTTATGATTTGCGTTTGAGCCTCATAATGATTTTTTTTAAGGTATAGTGTGTTTAATTATTATTTTAATTATTTAATTTAATTTAATAAATAAATTAAAATTTTATAAAATTTAACAAATATTATAATCTCAATTAAAAAAAATTTAAAAAAAACTACAAATTAATACTGTAATATAAATTTACATTGAAAGATTAATTAATTAATAATAATTTAAATTTTTTTCAGTTTTCAAAAATTATATTATAATTATAAATATAATTTTAAAAAGGTGAATATTTTTGCAAATTTTACATGGTAAAATTTAGAAAATAATATATTTTAGAATTTTATTTTTAACATATTTAAAAATTAAATAAATGTACAAATTAGCATTGAGATTATAATATTTATTAAATTTAAATTTTTATATAATTTAATTTATTTGTTAAATTAAATAATTTAAAAGAATAATTAAATAAATATTTTGCCTCCAAAAGAAAATCACCATGGGGATCGAAATAATGACCATAAAATTATGATCTTTTAATAGGCATGATAACATATAATTTTCCTTAATGAAGTTTTTTTTTTAACAAAACTCTCTTCTAATTAGAATATTTTATTTTTTTTAGCATTTAATCAAAGTAATAACTTTTTAAAAAAAATTATTTTTAAAATCTTGCCTTAATTGGGACGTGTCATTTCATGTTTGGTCGTCAATAGTGTTTCGGGGTAAAATCATTTTAGCCAAACTTTTTAAAGGAGCATACTACTAAATGAAATGGGGATTAGGAGCATGATTAAATGGAGAATTTAAGGAATCAAAATATAATCTTGTTTTACGATTGATAAAATTTTCTATTTGTGGTACTGATCGTGGCTAAACTCCGCGTTTTTATAAAAGAGAAAATTTTTAATTAAATTTTACATGCAACACAATTCCTTACATATTTTATAAAATGATGTTATTGTGTTCTAGGAATATTCCTAGTGTAATAATAACACAATAACACATCAATAACACTTGAATAACACACAATAACACCTGAATAACACACAATAATACGAAAGAAATATTAATAACACATAATAACACCTGAATAATACACAATAATACGAAAGAAATATTCCTTTTTTTTATTTTTTTGACTTCTCAACTAGGGATGTAAACGAGCCGAACACGAGCTGAGCCTTTATATTTCGAGCTAAAAAAGTGTGTTTGTGTTCGGCTCGTTCTCTTAGCCGAGCTAAACACAAACTGTTCATGAACAAAGAATCATTTTGACAACACTAATCACGTAGCTATAAAATGTTAAGAATTGAGTCAATATTTAAAATATCATTTGAATCTAATTTAATAATTTTTATTCTATTTTCTTAATTAAAACTTTTAATTGATTATAAATCTGTGTAGCCTTGTATTCATCAATTATGTATATATATAAATTGTAGTTATCTTTTTAATTGCATATATATAATTGTCATCAATTTGAATTGTAGCTATTTTTTTAGTTTTATATATATATATATATATATATATATATATA